TGCAAATATTACTTGAAGAGAAGAGCCTTGTCTACTCTTAGGCTCTGAATCTTGGCCAGTTACTAGCACCGTGTTGAACATTTCAAGGAATGAGAATTCCAGACCGCTTCATTGTACTCTCCTATGGAACCTATATACATAGACCAAGAGGCAACCATTCAAAAAGAAGAGGATGCTTCGAGGTTTAAGATCAGGAAAGGTGTACCGTTTCACCATACTTCCTCAGTTTGTGTGCTAAGCAAATAACCCAAGACCTGGACGACGTGAAAAACAGGACATCAGGACTAACGGAAGATGTTTTAATAACCTGTGATACACAGTTGACACAACCTTGCTGAAAACAGAAGACTTGAAGCATGTTACTGATGAAAATCAAAGGCTATAGCCGTTGATGTGGATCACACCTCAAAATAAAATAAAAATCCTGACAACTGGAGCAGTAAGCAGTGCCATGGTATGTGGAGAAAAGATGGATACTGTCAAGAATTTAATTTTATTTAGAGCCGCAGTCAGCACTCGTGGAAGCAGCAGTCAAGACATGCTGCATTGGGCAAATCTGTTGCCAAGAAAAACTCCTTTAAATAGTCAAAGAGTAAAGATGTTACCACGAGGACTAAGATGTGCCCAATCCAAGTCATGGGATTTTTCAATCTCATGCAAGGAGCCCTGGTGGCAGAATGGGTTGCTAACTACAATAAGTGGGTCAGCCATTCCAACCCACCAGCCGCTCCATTGGAGAAAGATGAGGTTGTTTTCTCCCCATTTACAGTCTCTAAAACGCAAAGGGTGCTTCTACTCTAAGGTGACCAGATTTTAACATTGGTAAAGTGGGACACCATTGATAAAACTCCTATCCTAGCGAAATAGCCACAGGGCAGCCAAAAACCGCATAACCTAGCTTGTCGTGCATTCTTTCCAAAAATCGGGACTTTTTTAAAACGCCGCGGGATGGGGGGAAAATTGTTAAAAATCGGGACTGTCCCGCCAAAAGAGGGACGTCTGGTCACCTTATTTCTGTCCTTAGGGCCACTGTGAGTCGGCAGCCATAGGACTGTTTGGGCTGTAATCCTTCGTAAACAGATTGCCAGGCCTTTCCTTTCCAGTGCCACTGGGTAGGTATGAACCACTAACTTTGAGGTTAGCCAACCATTGCAGATGGCTTGAGTCAGGGAACATCAAGGAAAGCACCTGTTTTCCATTGGGGAAACTATTAGCGCTTACTTTAAAATGCAGCTCTCTCCCCACATCCCCTTAAGTGCCCACCTTTTTTTGCCACCAATAGATGAATTTCCTATAGTACTAGTGGTAAATTTTTGATGTTGCTATTTTATTCATTCAACAAATATCTGCAGGGCCTTCTCTCTCTTTCTTTTATATAAATCATTTTATTGGGGGCTCTTACAGCTCTTATTACAACCCATATATCAATTGTATCAAGCACATTTGTTCATATGTTGCCATCATTTTCAAAAACCAGAGGGGAAGGGAGACGACGATCGGAGTGAGATTTGAAAATAATCAACAATTTACAATCTATCAGGGGGCCATGAGAGTTGGGGGCAGGAGCTGGGGGAGAAGGGAGGGAAAAAAGGAGGAGCTGATCCTAAGGCCTTAATGGAAAGTAAATGTCTAGAAAAGAACGATGGAATATATGTATGAATATGTCGGACACAATTGATGTATGGTTCGTAACAAGGGTTGTAAGAGCCCCCAATAAAATGGGGAAAAAAACACATAACATTTTCTTTCTACTTGAGCCCTTGGTATCAGCTCCTCTTTTCCCTCCCTCCCCTCTTACCTCCCACCCTTGTGATCACTTGATACATTATAAACTATTATTATTTTCATATCCTACACTGTCCATTGTCTCCCTTCACCCATGTTTCTGTTGTTTGTCCCCTTCGGGATGTTATATATCGATTATTGTGATTGGTTATTCTCCCCCTTCTCCCCCCACCTTCCCCCTACCCTCATGGTATCACTACTCCTATTTTTGTTCCTGAGGGGGTTATCTGTCCTGGGTTCCCCGTGTTTCCAGCTCTTATCTGTACCAGTGTACATGCTCCAGTTTAGCCAGGTTTGTAAGGTAGAATTGGGGTCTGATAGTGGGTTGGAGAAGAAGCATCATTGAAGAACTAGAGGAATGTTGTGAGTTTAGTCGGTGCTATACTATACTCCCCTGGCCGGCTCATGCCTTCCTTGTGACCCTTTGGTGAGGGGATTTCCAGTTGTCTACAGATGGGCTTTGGGTCTCCACACTATCACCCCCCTCGTTTGCATCGATATGATTATTTGTGTAGGGCCTTCTTGTAGAATCTACATACTAGAAGGAGCATATTGACTAGAGGTTTTTCATTCTTAGTTATAGCAGGCCAATTTTCTAATAACCATGTAGTTAATTGAGTACATTCACAGATCATTTAATTTACTTTTTAAATGTTTTGTAAACACGCAGAAAAAGGAATTGGAGGCCTGTGATTGATTCTGGTGAATACATTTAAAGCATACTCTAGTTTTATTCTACAAGAGTGCATTCTTTACTGGTCCAGTGATTACTGTAATTCTAATTCATTATGCACCATGACAACCTCTTCAGTGGGGTTATTATGTATGTTCACAGGATAATAGTTTCTGTTGAAACTTAATTCAATACTTTTATGTTAGTGAAATCTGCTTGGTTTCTTTGTGTCTTCTGATTATTACTAAGTGGTCTTTAATATGTAAAACAAACTAGAGATGTTGGCAACTGCATTTTGATTTCTTCTTGCTTATCTCACTGTCCTATAAAGTTAATAGAACAGCAGGAACATTAAAGATATTATAAAAATTAGATTCTGAAACTTATCATCTGTAAAAATTAGTAGCTAATCTCTATTCTAATTTAAAATTAAAAATGAGGTAAACAAGTTACATAGTCTATTGTTCATCTTAATACCTGCAAATCTAATAGGTCTGTTTGGACCAAAGGATAAAAATACTTCAAAATAATTTAGTTTAAAAAAAATCTTTTTTCCCTCCAAAGATAAAGATTCTTGGCTTAAAATTAGAATAGTTAAGTGACCCCCGAATCATTATACTCTCTGAAAGTAGTACAGCAACCATTTGCTATTATGACAAGCGGGAAATTTTGAGAATACTTGTTTTAGGAGTAAATACAACAACATTAGTACCTTACCCAACTAGTTGTGTCTTCTGGGAACATACCTATTCTCTGTTTATACTTTTGGGGGGCCAAATATCAGCCTTTAATGGGGTATGAGTTATTAATCGGGTAGCATGTTATGATTAAAAAATTAAAAACCATAGACTGGAGAGGTATACCAAGTTAATGTGAAACTCAGCCCTGTCAATTTTATCCTAGTACCTTGGACATGTAACATCACAGAACTTTTCCCCCTCTTCCATAAAATAAATACTGTCATAATTCTTTAGACTAGCTAGCTGTGAGGATTAAAGCAGCCAGAGTAAGTACTTAGTCAATGGTAGTTGTATGAGGAATACAATATGGTGATGCTATGTTTTGATATTCTCTCAGGTGAAGTGAAGGACAAAAGTGTTCAGGTGGTCGAGCTCCCCATTGTAGACAGTCTTCATCCCCGTCCTCCATATTTACCCCTGGCTGTACCGGAAGACCTTGCAGACCGACTCGTTCGAGTCCATGGTGATCCTGCAGTGTGGTGGGTGTCCCAGTTTGTCAAATACTTGATCCGCCCACAACCTTGGCTGGAAAAGGAAATAGAAGAGGCCACCAAGAAGCTTGGTTTCAAGCATCCAGTTATTGGGTAAGAATCTGATTTGTTCCGGATATCTGTCAACATTTTATTTGGAGGGAAAATTTTGGATATGATACATGACTCTTCTTATCGAGACAATGAGATGAAACTGTCACATTTACAGTTTTTTTAAAGCACTTTATTTTTAGGTTGCATTAATTGTGGTTATTTTACATTTTTGCTGTTCTGTTTTCTGGAAGACAGCTAACTGTAGACTAGAAGCTAACTTGAGAATAAGGGGTTTTTTGGTAATATGAAGTAATGTTAAAATTGTTGTTTAAAATTCTCTCCTGACCCACTTGGTTAAGGGAGATGGATCAGAATATATTTAGTCCTCTGCTTGGTTAAAGGAGATATATCAGGAAATCCTGCAAGCAATAAAGATTCCCAAAAAAAAGCTCCTTGACTGACAAGAATGTACTCCTGTACACATACATAACTCATGGAAAGAGGTGTTTTCTTGCAGTTCTTGATGTTAAATTTCATACTAATACAGTGATTCTCAACCTGTAGGGGGTCACCTAATGCATGCTGCATGTCAGATGTTTACATTACGATTCATAGCAGTAGCAAAATTACAGTTATGAAGTAGTAACAAAAATAATTTTATGGTTGGGGGTCACCACAGCATGAGGAACTTTATTAAAGGGTCTCAGCATTAGGAAGGTTGAGAACCACTGTTCTAAATACATCATTAGACCTAATGGAGAGAATATTAAACTAAGAGTTGAGGGACCTGGGTAATATTACTAGTGTTTCCCTTGTTGAATGATTTTGGGGTAAGTTACTTAATCATTATTTCACTGCCATTGAGTCCTTTCTGATTCATAGAGACCCATTAGTACAGGGTAGAACAACTACCCCATGGGTCCCCCCCAACATTGTAACAACTCTTAGCTTTCTCTCACTTTAATAATAGTATTGGGCTTTCATTTTCCCATCTGTGAAATAGGGAACATAACTTGTCTTAAAGATGAGAACAAGGTGATATGGACGAAGAAAGGAAATTTAGCTGTGTGAAAGAAATGTACTATAAAATACTGTCATCGCTCAAAGAGATCAATGGATAAATAGTTCTGAAAACAGACTACAGCTTATACTAGTTATAATAAAATTAGCCATTGATTAATATCAACATGTGTTAATTCATTCATTTTATTTACAGAACTTTTATTGACTCCCTCCTATGGTGAAGGGCAGAGATTAATTTCTTTAATGACATTTTCCTGCTCATTACGGTCAGTCTACAGTAGCAGCGACTGAGCACAAATAACCACTATACAGAGTAGACTAGGACAAATACCTTGGGAGAAAAATGAAATGCATTGAGGCTAGGAATCAAAATCAGAAAGGTATCGCTACAATATTTGAACAGGGTATTGAAAGTTGGAGGAAAATAACAGGAGACCCTACAACGTTTGTGGAAAAGTGAAATTGAAAGATGATAGAATTTTTCCATTAATTTTTTGAAACTTCCTCTTAATATAATTGACTTACCAGAATATTTACAATTACATGATCTCATTTGATCTCATAGCATAATCCTGTGCCCAGTGGGTGGAGATCACCATTTCACAGATGAGAAAACTAAGCTTATTGTAGAGAAATAAAATGTCTGCCGAAAGTTCCGGAGTTAATATAGGGAAAACTAGGACTAACCCAATTCAGTTCTCCTTCATACGATAACATCACTTTTCTGCAACACCAGTTTACTCATACAAAGATCCATAGTTCAGTGAACAGTGTTCAATTAAAATTTATATAGTCTTTGAGATGCATCATGTACTTTCGTTTCTGTGGGAGGTGAACCTTCTCAGTTTGTATTTCCTATAGTTCTGTGTACCACAAAGGTAGCCCTTTTCATTTGCTATCCATAGTCCACCAAGTTAAGAGTTCACCAGATACTGAAGACGGAAGTATCTCGGGCAGCTTCATTATTCGTACATTGACGTCGTCTGCCGCAGCAAAAAGAGGCACGACGAAGGCCCAAGAGTCTGAGTCTCATCCAGCTTCCACTACTAACAAGCTGATGGTTTAGGGAACTTACACGATCATTATGGCTCTGTGTGTGTGTGTGTTTAATGAGGTGATCTCGTATCTATGGTTTCTCCAAATTCTAACACAGTAGGTCTTTTTGTGCCTGCCTGTCATCCATTCATTTTATTCATTGTGTGTGGTGTAATTGGAAATGAATAAAATAAAGTTCTCTGCCCTGAAAGAACTTGATTCTTGAATAGCAAAGTCAGGCAAGAACACAAATAACTAACTTTTGTGAAGACTTAGTTGAAATGTATATAGGAGAAACCAGCTTCCCTTTGCCTTAAATATCTAGGTTTTTTATTTGTGGAAAATATATATAACAAAAGTTGCCATTTTAGCCTTTTAAGCATATAACTTAGTGGCCTTAGTTCACAATTTTGTGTAACCACTCCCAGAATTTATCTCTTAAAACTTCTTCATCACAAACAGAAAATCTATGTACTCTCATATTAAGCATAACTCCTCATCCACACCCTTCTTCTAGCCTCTCATATTTCTGTCTCTATGTATTTGCCTATTCTATAGATATTTCATATAAGGGGTATTATACATAGACTGTATTTGTGTATGCCTTATTTCACTTAGCATAATGTTTTTAAGATTCATCTCTATCATAGCACATATCAGAAAACCATTTCTCTTTATGTCTGGATAATATTCCATTGTATGTGTATACTATGTTTTATTTATTCATCCTTCTTTTGGTAGACTTGGGTTATTTCCAACTTTTCTTTATTGTGAATAATGTTTCTAAAGTATGTTGATGTATACAATCTGCTTGAGTTTTTCTTTCCATTCTTTGGATTATACCTAGGAATAGAATTGCAAGTTTTGTTATATTTTTGTTTACTGTAATGTCTGAAACATTAGTTTTCTTAATGTCAGATGAAGAACTTTATATTAAATGACTTCTAACATCCCATATCTACATTCACATTTTGACTCTCCTGTAAAAACTCGGTATGGCTCTCATTTTCAAATGCTCTTCTTTAGTTGTCCTCTCCTTTGCTGTTGTTTCAATTTTTGTTTCCATATTTCATGCCCCACATCTTCCCTGGTATCTTTGTATTTAACTGTAGAGAAGTTGCTGACAAAGTTAGAGCTAAAATAGAAAAAGAAAACTACATAGTGAAGCTAGAATATTAAAGAAAAATAAAACTCACCACCACCAAGTCAGTGCTGACTCATAGCGATCCTATATTTGGGGGGAGGGGGTATTGTCTTTTTCACCTCCCAGTAGTTTACTCTGTTCTCTCCCTGCCCAGTCATGAAACATGTTATGGAAACTCACTGGATTTGTTCTTTCTGCAATTCTGACTTTCAGGAGAAATGATGGCTCAGAAAGATGAGGGTAACAACAAAAAAGTGAAACAACCCAACCACAATGTGAGCAAAGGACTCGAGCAGACATTTCATCAGAGAAAGTTGTCAGATAGCTAGAAAGCACATAAAAAGATGCTCGCTCTCATAAGCTATTAAGGAAATAAAAGTACGATGAGCTTGTCACCTGACTTTCATTGGAATGCCAGTGATCAAGAAAACGGAAAACCAAGACTTCAAACCAGTTCATCATGGTTCAGGCGTGGCAGGTGGACACAAGGGTGTTGGGCATAGTACATGGCAACCAAATCTAGTTTCCTGTGCATCCGATTTGGGCCCAAGGAGGAAACATGCAGCAGTGCAGAAAACAGCAGGTGCTGGTGAGGGGTATGGCAAAACAGGAGCCCACATCCATTAGTGGGAGAAAATAAAATGGTACAGCTATTATGGAAAATAGCTCAGCAATTCCTCAAAAAGTTGAACATAGAATTACCATGTAATATGACTCAGCAGTCCTAATCCAAAATAATTCATTGCAGAAACATAAACCTGTACACCAGTGTTCCTTCACACATGAGTGAATAGGTGCAAACGGCTGAATGTCCATCAACAGTTGAATGGACAAACAAAATATGGTGTGTACATATTGCTTGCCATGAAGTACTGATAGCTGTTACAACACAGATGAACCTTGAAAGCATTGTGTTGAATAAAGTTAGTCGAATGCATAATGAAAAACTAGTTCCAGGACTGACCCTTGCTTATTGTTTCAGTTTTGCATTAAAGTTTCAGTCTAGTCAAAGTAAAGGTGCACATATGCTATGACCTGAAGGAAAATCAAAGTGACCACGAGTTGAAGTGAGGAGCTAGGGAGTGTTGGATGTAAGGAGAATCTCAATTTATGAAAACAAGCTATAGTTCTTAGTATTCATATTCTTGTTACCACTACAATTACTTTGGAAGTACTCAAATGTGAGGAGAATACTTTGGGAAGTCAATGTCTTTTTTTTTAGTGCAAGACAGTGTAAATCTGTGTCCCAAGTTTTACCATTTCCAGGGCCTTCTTCAGTAGGACAGGGGATCAGTACCGGCTTGTGTGTGCGAGTGAAAAACAGTGCATAGGACAAAACCGATGGATGGCTCCATGAACTTAAAAGAATAAAAATCCTTAACGGTGTGCCTGCTTTGACTATGCTATCAGAAGAGTCCATGCAGGTCTGTGACATTGTGGTGGACAGTTTTAAATTCTGTAAGTGACTCTGCAGTCACTGTCAAAAGTAGTAAAAGGAAGAAAGAACACAAAACTTGGTCTCAGTATTACAAACAATATCTTTAATGATCTATAATAGCAGCTGTGAAACCTAACACCACTTTGTCTCAGAAATTTTAAAAGTGATATATATATTTTTTGAATGGAAGGCTGGTGGGTATTTTACACATCCTAGTATGGATTATACCCCTTGAATCCTCCCTTATTCCTGATAAGCCAATTACTTTATAAGAAAACATTCTTTAAAGGCTTCATTTATTTTTTACTTCTTCTTGTTCTCTTAGTATGACTTGCAAGTATATTTAGAATGTATGTATTTGTTATTTTTTAATATTTATTTTTTCCTGATAGTGAAAATGAACCCTAAAAATGGTCTAGGAATACCATCATTCCACCATGAGTTCCCATGGAGGGCCATCTACATAAGGATATTATGAGCAGAACCTGAATTTCTCCTTTATGTATCTCCCCTCACCCCTCAGGGTCCATGTCCGACGTACAGACAAAGTGGGAACAGAAGCAGCCTTCCATCCCATCGAGGAGTACATGGTGCATGTTGAAGAACATTTTCAACTTCTCGCACGCAGGCTGCAAGTGGACAAAAGACGAGTATACTTGGCCACAGATGACCCTTCTTTATTAAAGGAGGCAAAAACGAAGTAAGTTAAAGCAACTGATGACCTAGAGTATGATTTTTCTTTCTATTAGAAAGGATGCTTAATCCTATGATTCTTGTTATAATAATATTACCAGTTATTGGAGTTTTTAAATGCATATTGTATCCTGGTGAATTTAATCAAAGCATATTTTTATTAGGCATATCTGATAGTGTCTTATAACAAAAAGATCTAAAGTGAACCCAATCATTAACTTATGCATCATTACCAGTCGTCATCGGCATCACTACAGATGTTTGCTAATCATATAGGGCTGCTAATAATAAAAGGTACTTTACCTTATTTCAGTATCTTCGCTCAAAATTATGGGCAAGTGAACATATATGTTAGAAAAAGTTTTCATCCTATAAGTTTATACTAAAGAAAGTTAAAGAACTGAAAGATGAGATATGTTAGTGGCAGAATAATGACTCTTAATATGTATTGTGTAGTAACAATCATTTGTGAAGCCTGTTTCAGGTACTGTGCTAGATGGTGGGGTTTCTGTGATAACCAAGACCATCTTAGCTCTCAAGGAACCCCAGATCTACTGGGGAACAAATAATTACACAACAGCATAATGCTCCTGTAGGGTTGAACATAGGGTATAAGGAAGACAGACACATAGATAAAATTCTGGTCGGTCTTGCGATTTCTCATCAGAGAATCTAGGTGAACCAGCAGTTAGTGTTTATTTACTACCAGTAAATAGAGGACTTATTAAATGTACGTGAGAGTAGAAAATGAGAGAGGGGATTTCAGGCTTGGCTTTGCCAGATGACAGTCTTCAAGAACAGTCAGCCTTGAACCTTGATTGGGTTCGTTGTCCCTGCTTTGTACATTCCTCTGTCATAGTGTTTAGTAGTTCCTCCGCTCTGTCTCCTTCACTAGTTTATAAGCATTTTGCACAGTTCCTATTATTTGTAAGTAGCCAATGGATATTAAACTAATTTTTAATACTATCAGTATAAAAACTTTTTATTACCAGTTACTCATTTAAGTTACTTAGCTGTTCAATTAAGTAACATATTATTTTTATGCCACAGAAGAAACAAACTTAGAATGATGACTATAATACAGGTGTTTATTCAAGTCATTAGTTAATAGGTTAAATCCTATTTCTCTCTTAAAGAATATAAGTTAACATGCTAGAAATTGCTATACATTAATAAAAGCAGGTGCCGAAACATTTCCTGACCAAGTGTAACCATGGAAAAATATGAACTATAGATTAAATGACCCATTGGGCACAAAATACAATAAAATTTTACAAACATTTTTTTTCCATTTTGAGGTTCAGACTTAACAAGCGGCTTCAAAAAGTCATAGAAAAATATCCGTTATCTTTTCATTCAATTTCTCCATGAATTTTTTAAGCCCCATGCATGAGAGAAAATAGTTTACCACGCTCCTTTATTTTAAAACTATACAATGAATTTGAAGCTTGTTTGAAGAAACAGATATCAGTTTTATCTACTCTCATTTGTTTTTGAATATATCACAAATTTTTCCTCTTTTTTGCTTGATTGGAAAAATATTTCCTGTCATTAGAAAATGTGCAAATTGGAAAATAAAGAAAAATACTATACACAGTCCCATTACTCAGTGGCAACAACTGTTTAATTATTTACATGTGCCTTCCGGTTGCCTAGATTAACATTTTTAATAGTTGATCGTGGTGGTGCGCTTGTTGTTAAGTGAGATTGAATTGATTCTCATCCATAGCAACCCCTGAGTACAACATTTAAGACCTGCCTGGTCCTGCACCACCCTCACAATCATGGTTATGTTTGAGCCCATTAGGATAGCCACTGCGTTCTTCTATCTCCTTGAGGTTTTTGTTCTTTTTTCACTGAGCCTCTGCAGTAGCAAGATGTCCTTCTCCAGGGACTGGTCACTTCTGATACGATGTGCCCAATGTCACGTGAGGGAAAGGTCTCACTGTTTTCACTGTTAAGGAGCGTTCTGGATGTCCTTCTTCAAAGATATATTTTTTTCTTTTTCTGCAATCCCTGCTAGATAACATATTCTCAGTGTGTTAGTCTGGGTTGACTAGAGAAACAAATCCAGAGACACTCATATGTGTGTAAGAGACAACTTTGTATCAAAGAATAATTATCTGTTAAAAAAACGTCCCAGCCCAGGACAAATCAAGTCCATAAGTCCGATACTATACCATATGTCCGATACCAGCCCATAAATTCATCTTTAGACTTACACAGCCAAGTAATGATGCTGAATGCAAGATCACAGGCCAGTGGGTGGAAAGTCTTGTAGATCCAGTGGCAATGGAAGCATCTCAGCACTGGCGTGGGTCTCCATGTGGCTTCTCCAGCTCCAGGGCTCTGGCTGCCATCAGTGTGGCTCCATGTGGCTTGTCAACAGGAATGTCAAGCAGAGACTGTGCCGACTCCAGCAGGGAAGAGAGGAAAACTCCCAGAATCCTCTGGAGGAAGCCATGACCACAAGGAGGCATCAAGTAGGCTGTGACCTGAGAGGCTAGATTCCACCCCTAGAACCTATTTAACAAGTTGACATGAAATTACGTAACTACCACACTTAGTAACACAATAATTTGCACGCATCAGTGCTTCTTCGGTGGTGTTCCTTATTATCCAACTTTCATAGTCACATGACACAATGAAAAATACCATGGCTTGGGTTAGCCACACTTTATTTATCTATGTGATATACTTGCCTTTTAAGAACTTTAGAACTTGGGAGGATGTTGGAGAGGCTGATTGGCCAGGGTGGGGTGGGGGCTGGGAGGGTTGGGGAATGGGCTCTGGAGAATGACTGGGAGGAAATAGGGTGCTGTTGAAAGCTGCATTGAATAGTATCAGCAAGAAAAGGCAGCAGCTCTGCACAAGACCCTTGACAACTTCAGTGACATTTCCTTAGGCGATTCAAAAGTGGAAGCAATCTGAAATTTCCAAACCACCCTGGGCGGGGTCCTAGCAAAATAGCAGCCAGTCCAAGCCAGTTTCTGAAAAGAAAGCAGGCCCTGAGGGAGAGGCATCTGATGCGGAAGGATAGCCCCTTCCTGGGGGTGGTCTCAGGCCCCCCCACCTCCACCTCCCAGACTCGGGCCAGCACCGCCCTCCAGAAACTGGCCCAGCTAGAGACCAAGATCCGGAGCTGCAAGGTGCAGTGGGGTCTGTCCTATGCCAAATCTGACCCCCAGACCTCAGAGGCCAGCCTGGCAACGGGGGCCAAGGGACCTACTGAACTCTCCTTGCAGGCCACAGACTAAACCTCCCAGGGATATATATGGCCAGACACAGAGCCGGGGGCCAGACAGCCGGCTCCTCCAGAAAGAGCCCCACCGAGCCCACAGCCCCTGCAGTGCGCTGGGTGAAGAGCAGGCCCTCCAAGCACCCGTGCTGCGAGCACCTGCCAGACCTCCTACCCGCCTGACAGCGAAGAAGAGATGAGGTAGCTGCTGGGAAGCTTGCTGGATTCCTCCAGGGAGGAAGGAAGGTGGAGGAATCGAGGTTTCCCCGGCAAGGAAGTCCGTGAGATGAGCCAAGCACAAGTCCCCTGGTTGGGTCAGATCCCATCGTGGCTGGCAGGCCTGTCTCTGGTGTGAAGCTTCCCAACCTCAAGCCATTCCGGAAGCCATGGCTGCCATCCATCCAGCCAGCCAGCTGGACCCGCCCTGCATCCATTCCAGAACGTGCTCCCTACACACCCCCAGTCCGGCAGCGCAGCCTCCCAATAGGCAGGGCTCTCGGTCACAAGCCCTGCGTCTACGTCTGGGTCCCCGAGAATGAGGCGCCGCACCACACTCCTGTCCTCCCCCAGAAGGAGTGAGGCCAGGCCTTC